ACTGCCCGCCCCGCCCACGCCCACCCCCCTCTTCATATCACCATGTGTGGACTAAAGAGGTTTGTACATTGGACTCAAAATTGCAGCATTGAAGCGGTTTTTATTTTTATTTTTTTTTTGTCGCGGTCGACTCGTTCAGCGCCTCCGTCCACAGTCACACACACGTACTAATATCACTACGCTTGTGTTGTGTTGTTTCATGTCATAAAAATCGTGCAACATTAGTAACACCCTTTTTTAAAGAAAAAAAAGGAAAAAAAAAAGAAAGAAAAGAAAACAAATCCCAAAAAAAAGAGAAAACAAAAAATATATTTATAGAATATTTTTATATAATAAAATAAAATCAAATTCCAAATAAAACAAGATGCCTAACCTACACAAAAAAAAAAAAAAACGCAGATTTCTATATCATCATGACAGTTACCATCAGTAAAAGCTGTGGTATTATGATGATAATAATAATAATAATAATAATAATAATAATAATAATGATAATAATATCAATTCTCAGAGAACAATTAAAACAGACTGTCACCAGCACAAATTAACACTGGAAAGTGAGTGAGACTTCTAAACATCATTATACAGGAGGAAGTATTGTTTTTTTTTTCTGAGGGTGAGGGGTGGGGGGGTGGAGGGGGGTGCAGATTCTTAAAACTATATTTTCAGCACGATTGTCTCTCTGTTTTGTGATTACAGCGACCCCTAGTGTTGTTCTGAAGAACGTGTCAGTGCTTTCATCCCACTGACGGATCGAACTCCTGTGAGTCCCGTTGCAAAGGATGCCACTCTGTTTAGTTTTTGGACGAACCTATGGCTTGGCGCCTTAAACGTGGGGTCAAGTTCTTTCTCTTTTTTTTGTTTTGTTTTGTTGTTTTTGTTTTTGTTTTTTTTTTGTTCAAAGCTCAGGGCACAACAGTCTTAACAGTCAAAGTGTTTACACTCGAGGGAGGGGGGGGGTTTACGTTCACTCTGTCACTCGCTCAGAAAAGCAATATTGACACTCGAAGACTTGTCAGAGGGTGGATGAGTGTGTGAGCGAGTGAGCGACAGACGGAGAGAAAGAAAATGAGAAATCAGAGATGAAGTGAGGAAAGGATGATGGGAGTAGTGTGTGATGAGGCTGAGAGGAGGGGTGGTGGTGGTGTGATGGGGGTGTGTGTGTGTGTGTGTGTGTGTGTGTGTGTGTGTGTGTGTGTGTGTTTCCCATGGAAATGACCTGAAAATAATTTGACTTGTTGTCATTTGAGCGCTGACACCCGCTGTCTGGACGGAGTAAACAGAAGAGGAGTGTGTAATGAAATGTGTATTTATCTTTGTGTGTGTGTGTGTGTCGTCTTTTAAGCTTCCAGGGAGGTTTAGGGGTGGTGGTGGTGGTGGTGGTGGTGGTGGTGGGGGGAGGGGCTGGGTGAGTGAGTGAGTGAGTGAGTGAGTGACAGGGGTGAGAGGGAGGTGACGAGGGCCTGCCCATGAGAAGGATGCGGTGGCTGGATGTGGTAAAACCCAAAGTCGACAAGTCTGCGTTGGATTTGGGAGGTAGTCATTAAAAGATCAAGACTCGTTCTGAAACCTCCGGCTTAGCGAGGAGCGATATCCCAACTCTGCCTCCAAAGCTTTTAACAAGCAACTGGATGAAGGCTGAGAGTGCTTTTAGGAAAAATAAATACATGAATCTGCACTCTTGACCACTATGTGTTTTTTTTTTTTTAGAAATCTACCCACTAAACCCCAAATCACCCCTTGCCGCTTTCATAGCGTACAAAAAAAATGACATCCTCCACTGCTCTTTTACCTTCAGAGTCTTTTTACCTCTCTGTGATATAAAACTACGGCCGGCCAGTGACAGGCGAAGGAAAAGATCTTGTAAATATAGACACATGGCTTTTAATCGGAGGAAAAGGTAAACCTCGAAAAAACATCCTTGGCTCGCTTCATCGTGTGTATCTGTGTGTGCGTTCTAGAGGTCGACTGATGCTGGCTTCTTCGTACTGACGTCACACGTACTCAATAATTTAATACAACGAAAAACGACTTAATAATAAAGTAGTGATTATATCTGAGAAAGAGCAGAACAGCCTTTAAAGAGTAATTCAGATCCTCAGGTGGACGAGTGATGAAATAAAGTTTGCAGTTTTTAATTTGGACTTTTCAGTTGTTAATGTGAGAAAAAAAAAAGAAACATTTATAGTCTGTGATTAATTAAATTTACAATTAACTTGTCCTACGCAGATTTTACTTTTAAAAAGATTAGAAAATGTTCATTAGATTGTCCAGTAATTTCATCTGCAAACGTGTCTGTCCAGGCTCATGTGATACATGTAGTGAAGACTTTGTAGGAACTTAAAGTATTAAGTGTTTTTGCAGAACGTTACGATGTCACAGAGAAGTTGACCTTTGACCTTCTGGTCGTCACTTCTTCGTCATTTTATCCACGATTCGTGTGTGAATTTCTTAAATTATGGCCAGAAACGTGTTTTGTGAGGTCACGGTGACCTTTGACCTTTGACCACCGAATTCTAAATCAGTTCATCCTTGAGTCCAAGTGACTGTCTGTGCAAACGTTTGACGTACAGAGCGGACATAAATAAATACTGTACCCTCTTCCTTCATATTTTGTCTCACAAATTTTGTAATAAAACTAAATTAAATTAATTAATTATTAATTTCAAAGCGGCAGAAAGTGTGCCGCCCACAGAGGCTGCAACAGCAGCTCTGATTGGTTGATGTTGAGTAATAAATTATTTAAAACAAATCATTTGGAGGATTAAATAAAAAATAAAAGTGCAAACTGGATGATAATTAGATTTTTTTTAAGCCAGTCAGATATATCAGTCCAACCCTAGTGTGTCTGTGCCATTATGTGTGTGTGTGTGTGTGTGTCGGTGGGTCAGGTGTGTTAAGGTGTCCGGGGGAGGGGAAGAGGAGGAGGAGGAGGAGGAGGAAGAGGGGGGGGTTCAGGTAAAGTGCGCTCCATCACTGACAGAGTCCTAACCATTGCTCACTCAAAACAGTCCAAGTCACCACGGCTACTACGTCTTCCCTTTCTGCCTCCACAGCACCCTCTCTTGGCTCGTGGACACATTACACTTTATATACACGCATAAATAAGAGAGAGAGAGATCCACTGAGAATCAACCTGTTTGCTTGTTTTTTTTTTTTCTGCCTCGTTAAGGGATATCCTGCCGAATATATAGTTTATATATACAATCCCTGTCGTCTGATGTAGTCTCCCGCAGAGCTGCCCTTGCTACCGCCTGAAGCTGTTTAAATATATACTTGTATATGATCTACGTTTTTTTTTTTATTATTTTATTTTATTTTAAACCTTCAAAAACACCTTATCCCTGTCACACAAAAGCCACAAAGGTTACAGATTGCTTATATACATGGTACCTCACGATTCTCCCCTTTGAATATCAGCTATCTATTCAAAACATGAGTCGCTTCACAAAAATAATTTCTGCTGTGTGCATTGCAGGTGTGTTCAAGGATGAAATTGAGAATGAATATTTTTGCCCAAATCACTTTTGTTACAAAAAACAAAACAAAAAAAAAAAAAACAACCAGTTGAGGTAACAAACCCATATACACACACACACACACACACAGACACACACACAAACACACCACACACACACACGCCGATCTCAGCATCTGTGGTTGACACGATGTGGGCAAAACTAGGAGCATCTGCGTCATGTGTCGTTGAGCTGCTGCAGCTCGTCCCTGATTCAAAGAAAAGCAAGTCTTTTACCTCGGCAACAAACCATGTTCCTCGTTTTACAGCTAGTCTGCACGCTTCAGATTAAACAAAAACCTGGGGGAGGGGGGGGGTTTGTCAGTCCCATTACAGGGCCTGACCGCCGGCCTGTTGACGTGGTCGCCGGCTCGGCTCGGATGTGTCGTTGAGCTGCTGCAGCTCGTCCCTGATTCAAAGAAAAGCAAGTCTTTTACCTCGGCAACAAACCATGTTCCTCGTTTTACAGCTAGTCTGCACGCTTCAGATTAAACAAAAACCTGGGGGAGGGGGGGGGTTTGTCAGTCCCATTACAGGGCCTGACCGCCGGCCTGTTGACGTGGTCGCCGGCTCGGCTCGGCTCGGCTCGGCTCGGCTCGGCTCGGCTGGGGAGGGAGGGAGGCAAGTTTTTCTTTTTAGTGTCTTCATATTTAAAAACCCCCGAAACGAATCCAAACTCTTAAAGATCAACAGTCAAGACAGAGGGGACAAAACTCCACGCTTTAAAAAGAGCTAAACGGCCCCGGCTCGTAGAAAACAAACAAGAATCTAGAGCGACAGCGACGTCGGCCGTGGTCGGGCCGACGTGTACAAACGTGTGGACTCATTTTGGCGGCACTGACCTAATACAGCGCCGACGTGTTTGGCCAAACCTACTGTGGATAAACAGACAGTAAGGACACGAGGGAGGGGAGAATACCACCAGCCTCTCGCAGCGGCTGGGAGACCAGGGCCGGCGTGTTGCGACTGTCAGGAGAAGAAGTCCAAGTGGCTGAATTTAGGTTTTGACCGTCCACTGTGGCCCGATTAAAAACTCACTCACTTCACAATTCAAATACAGCTGAGTAAAGTCCGTCGTCGTGATTATTTTTGACAAACAATCCCTGGTTTGGTGGATTTAACCCCTCGGGGTTTCGTGTGTGTGTGTTTGTGTGTGTGTGTGTGTGTGTGTGTGTGTGTGAGTGAAAGTACATTAGAGTTCAAATGTGTATGCACATTGTCGTACAAGTGCGCGTCAGTGTCCACACGTGCAACATGAGAGTGTTAGCATGCTTGTGTTTGTATGTGAGGTCAGAGTCTCCTGTGTGGACAGTCGGTCACGGGGTCGATGGCGGGTATAATGTGTGTGTGTGTGTGTGGTGTGTGTGTGTGTGTATGTGTGTATGTGTGTGTATGCACAGGTAGGGAGACTGGGGGGAAGGGGGGTGGGGGGGCGTCGGGGCTGGTGGGGGCATGTACACAAGCCACAAGTACACATCTCCATCCTCCATCTGTCCGTCCATCCCTCTCTCGTCATCTCTTTATGTGACCCAGGCGTCCAGTCTCATTCTCTTGACGTTGGTCCCGTCCTGCTCCTGGGGCTCGGCCGACGGGGGCCGCATGAGGACCATGGTGGGCTGCTGGGCCCCGGCGCCGGCCTGGTGGTGGAAGTCCGGACCCCCGGCTCGACCCTGGGTGCCGTCGTCCCGGTCGCTGCCCTCGTACGAGCTGCCGTTGCTACTGAGGCTGTCGACGGGCGAGCGGCCCTGACCTCCCGCCTCCAGGCGCAGGGTGCCAGGGTAGGCGACCGACACCAGACCTTGTCCCTGGACTTGACCCTGGCCCCCCCCTCCGCCTCCCCCGCCGCTGGTGGAGCTGGGGGTGCTGCGGTCGCGGTTTGGCGAGACGGGTTCGGACTTGATGTTGACGTTGGGGTTCGTGTTGACTGTCAGTGCGGCGCCCTGAGGTATGTGGCCCACCGGCCTGGAGAGAGAGAGAGAGAGACAGAAAGAAGAGGAGAGAGAGAGAGAGAGAGAGAGAGATGGAAACAAAGAGTTAGACCACCGACAGTATCAGGTGCATAGCTCCAGATACACCTGTGTGTGTTTTCCTTGAACGCTTCAACAGTCAGTTTGCAGGGATGAAACAAAGAGTTCAGCCAATACTGCAACAAAATTCAAAGAATGGTCGTGAATGCATCACCGTGTGCTGATAAACAGAAACCGGGGCTTTTATTTTGATAAGCTAGCCACTTTCAAAGACAAAGACCAAAGACACCAGGCAGCGCTGTAAACCGGGCTTGACTGGACCCGAGCACAAGGAGAACACGGACACACAGAACAAACAGGGACTACACATCTCAGGTCACACCAAAGCACAGGCCATAAGCCATGCAGCCAAAACACTGTCGCACTTTGTATATTCGGCTCATTCACATCTGCACAACTTAAAAAAAGCGATTCAAAGAGCTTGTAAAATACGTTCGACCCGCCAGGTGAGACGTCTTTCTCGCATTCCTTGTGCGAACACACACTCACTCTACACCAGATGCAGAAACAGACGAACGTGAGCGTCAGTCCACAGAACATTTCTGTTGTGTTCAGGTTTTCCCCGGCACGACAAGCTGCTGGCGAACAGATTTCAACATCTGTCTGCTCCTTCTAACTTTACTAATAGCTGCATCACAGCTCAGATTTTTTTTACGTGACTGTGGAAATATTTGGTTCCACTTGAGTTTTAATGCTATTATCATCACAAACCCCAAAATAAAGCACCTGAGGCTGTGATTACACACAACACCTTTTTCCTGACGTTTAAACCCAGACACACACCCCCAGGTCTGAAGAAGAAGTCAGAGAATGCATGAGAAGATGTCACTGACAAAAAAACTTGCAGCTGTCTAATTCAGTGTTCAGCTCGCTAACCTCATTATAAAGATTTAACACTTGAGAGTTAGAGACTCCTCTGCTTTCCTCTCAAACAAGAGCGGCCCATTCAGGGTCGGTGCGGATTTGTGATAATAGAAAAGATGTCTCGTTCATGAGGCTGCGACTCCGTGTGCCGAGCGTCTCACTCCGTCGTTCAGATCAGTTATTGGTGAGACTGAAATATGGTACATACATATGTACAGAATGTACAGTGTGACTAACACATCCAGGAGTTTTAAGGATTAACGGATGGTAAAAAAAAAAGAAACTGAGGTTTATCATCATGAAGTTTTTCACAGCTAAATAACTCCATCATCCTGCGCTCGCCCTGAGACGCTCGGGACAAAAATCATGAGCCAAAAAGCTTTTACATCTGTGTCAGTGTCTGCGCCTCTACCTGCCACTCGTCTTTGATCAACCCCCCCCCTCCACCCCCTCACCCCCACTCTCAGCCTCCTCCGCCTCCTCCTCCTCCTCCTCCTCCGTTGGCTGGAGGCTGAGTCGAACCTGTCACCGAGCCAGACGCCGGCTGTTGACGCTGCACTGTGGCTCGCTGCGTTGTGCTTCATTCTCTCTCTCCCTCTCCCTCTCTCAGCTTGACACGGTCGATCTGAATTTGAAGCCCCCAATTACTGCGTTTCGCCCCCCGGGTGTGTTCTAATATGTCATATCATGAGCCATCTGCAGCACTGTATCTCTAATATTCCCTCAATTACTGGCAGACTGAGAGGGGGGTTTAAGATAGCACTCCTCCAGGTGATCTGGGTCTGCGCCACTCGGTGTGCTCGCTGTCCTCCTACGACTGACACACACACACTCTCTTGAACTCGTGTACCCTTGCTGTCTTACATACAAATGCTCCTTCCCTCCTGTACACTCTCACACTCACACACACTCTCTCACTCACACACACACACACACACACACACACACACACACACACACACACACACACACACACATTTATATAAATCCCTCGGCAGTGCTGAGGCTCGCTCCGTCTCCCGCTGTACCCACTTCATCAAACCTTGCGCGTCACGGCTTCCGCCAGCCGCAGTAGATGGATGCGCGTGCAACACGGAGGGGGGGGGCCCTTGTTACGGCGAGTAAAAAAAAGAAAAAGGGCCGAGTCAGCTGGGTCGGTGACAGTGATGAAGGCGAGAGAGCGGCAGGCTACCTCACGAGAGCTAACAGCACAGCCAGCACAGCCACAAGCAGACACTCGTTTCACAGTGTGGTGAGATACAGACACGTTTCCCAAAATGCTCTGCTCTTCTGAGGAAACTACAAAAATGACTCTTACTCAATTAAATTCAAATCAGTACTTCATGACTTCATTAAATGTGTTTGAGTGTGTATGAGTTTTATTTATTTATCTATTGTGTGTTTGATTGGAAGTGTTGATCCATAAGAAGATTATATTTGTGGGTTTTAAGAACCAAAAACCATCCAGATGTTTAAATTTGATTAAAGATGTTTAAATTTAGATGAACTCTAAAATACTGTGGACATGTTTCGTTTTGTTCTAATTCTCAACTGATTCTCGTTTGAAACGTTTTTATTTCTCTTAGGAATCACTCATGTTTTTTCGTAGTGAACGTCTCTAGTTTTCAGCAGAAGTTAAAGTTCCTCTGTGCAGCAGATATTTTGGGAAATACGACGCGCTGCAGCCGTGTGACTGAGGTGTAGAGAGTACAGTACCAGCAGAGGCCCTCCTCCCTGCCAAAGAGCAAGTTGGACTGAGAGGCCAAGCTGTGGAGGGAGGGGGAAAAAGAGACAAGCAAGTTTACACACAAAAAAAAAAGAGAGAGAAAAAGATAGAAAAGCTACAACAGCAGGGAAACAGTGGGACGGAGGCCAGTCATGGTCAGTCCAGACATGGTTACTAGAAGAAAAACAAAAGGCCCAACAGCTGCTTCAGTCACACTGTGATGTTGTTAGAGAGCTGCAGGAAATGTTAAAGCCTGTGCTGACACAAAATTGACGCTTGTCCACACGCAATGCATTTTTCACAGTCGGCACCAATAAACATGAAATCTTTGGCTTTTCTCTAAAACTGTCATTACAAGGAATAAACTGCAAATTCCCAAACAGTGTTTCACAGACGTCACATTATTCGACCTGCTCCCACTTACTGGTTTAACCTGCTATTTATCCTGGTTTCACCTGTTTGTGTGGCGCATTAGGAATAAATCAATTCCCGTCTTTTATCTGAGAATTTACCGGAGCTGAAATCCTCATCTGTTTGTAAGAATCCAACATGTTGGGAACATCTGATGCTAAAAATCAGCCAGGTTCATGCACGTTGCTTTTTTTTAACATGGAACGCGTAACATGTGATTATCTTACAGCGCTGTCACGAGTAAAACAGGTCGCAGCTTATGTGCTAAATAGAACTTAAGAATCATTTTTTATCTTCCATGTAGCAGGAAGCTTAATGGAGCCGCCGCCGCCGCTTTGTACACTGTGGTTTCTAATCTGCAGTCTGGGAAAACACTGATTCGTCTGGGGAAGGTTTTACTGAACAGCCTCTGATAGCATGTGTGCATTGTGCCCTGCCGACAAACAGTGTGTCCTGTAAGCAATTTAGCAATGTGTGCACTGTCTGTAAGTGTTGGTTTTTTTTTTTTTCTCCCCCATCAAACCACAGCTGAGAGAAAGCTGAGAGAGGCGGGAGGAGAGAGGCAAAGGGTGTTTTTGTGGACGAAAGAACAAGAACAAAAAAAAAAAAAAAAAAAAAAAAAAAAAAAAAGCTTCAGCCACCAATAAAACATTTGATCCATTCTCTCCACAGATTGATTTGCAGCTTCGTAAGTGGACGAAACAAATGGACAAAACAACAGTGATGCGCCAGCAGACAGTTCTGTTCATCTCCTGCTAAAGTGGCCCACGTGGAGGCCGCGCCTGCTGACAACACATCCGCTCTCGTCCTGCAACAAACAGCAAACTGCACCCAGAGAGCACTTCCACAGAAACAGGCCGGTCTGAGCGGAGAGCCGGGCTCTGCGGGGAGGAGGCTGAGAGGCCAGCCGTGACATTAACATTTAGATTGGGCAGCGAGGGGGAGGAGATGAGAGTCAACAGGTGTACGGCGAATTAAACTGAGGCTGACAAAAGAGCCAGGAAATAAGCAGATAGATGGAAGCGGCGGAAGAAGAATGATTAAAAATGGGGATGAGAGAGGGTAAGATGACAGAAATCATTTCCTCGTGCAGCCTGTGGCGAGGAGAAGAGCGGACGACAGGCGAAGGCGAGGCTCGCTGCCAAGCCGTCAGTCATGGTTTGATTGGGAGGGCTGTTCGCTCGCTGCGAGGCGGCGCTCTGATGAAATCCAAAAAAAAACTAACAAACCGCAGCAGTCCGCCCATCCGAGGACAGCACGCTTCCCCACTCTGCTGAGAGAGGGGTTCGGTGTTTGCTGGGAGAGCTTCCCACGATTCACACACACACACGCACGCACGCACGCACGCACGCACACACACACACACACACACACACACACACACACAGACAGCTGACATCTGAGTTATGGATCAATTTAAAACTCCTCGTATCCAGTAAAACCATGATCAATGTTCCTGATTGTTTTCAGGAACGTCTTTAAAACAGATTAAAATCTGTTATTACTCTTGATTAGAAATTTTTTCTCTCTTTTGCATTACCAGGAAATCTACAAATCATTTTCATTATTAATTGATTAATTGTTGCTCAAACATCTTGTTTTGTCCAACCAACCTTTTTATGCCTTACTACACTTCGACTTTACTGTCGTCAATAAGTTTAAATCGTTAATCAAGCAACAACTCAAAACATTCGCTTCAATGTTTGGGTTTTGGACAAAACAAGCAATGTTAAGATGTTATTTTAGACTCTGGGAATATATTTTTTTCATCAATAATCAAATTGATCATTACTGTCTCCAGGATCCTGGCGCTTGAACTAAAACCTCGCCCTCGCCCTCAGCGGAGAGACAGGGATTGTTACAGCGAGGGGAAAGTGAGCGAGCGCCGGCTGAGCGGTTTCGACGGATCTGTTTGCTGAAGGATTTCAGACAATCTGGACGTCCGTTTGTTAACATTTACACGGCGAAGCAGAGTTCTGCTGTGAGTCAGCTGCTGGACGTTAACTATATTCTGCTTCTTCCAGAGACGCTCAGCCCCCCCTGGAGTCCCAGCTGTTGTATACGACAACAAACAACATATTATCATACTCTCATGGACAATTTTCTGATTGTCAGAAAGAGACAGCTGCAATTATTCTAACTGTCTTTTTTTTTATTTAAACACATTTCTGTTACTTTTCATCTTTTCTGTGATGGAGATTCTGGGCAGCTGGACAATCTCTTAAATTAGTAGCTGTGATTGTTCTGAACAAAAGGATATCAGCATTACAGGGTTTGTCAAATGACTGCAAAGAGATCAAACCCGAGACTGCAGCTGCCTTTGAATTCATCATCTAATACCAAGCTGTGTTATCTCAATCTAAACAAGTGGCTTTGACAGCTAAGCTACATCTGAATCATTCTTTTCAGTCATGCCACTGCAGGCGCTTCAGGCCGACATGTATCTAAGGTGCTGAAGTTTACGTGTGACTGTCACCTGAGAGTGACAGCTCATGCAGTAAGCATGACAGCGGTGCACAGATGTGCAACTGGTTTGGTGTTTGGGACTGAAAGCGGCACCCAGAGACTCCTTTCATAGCAGGCCCTAACGAGACGCTGTCAGCGTCACACTGAAACATCTTCCTCTGTGTTGGTGACACTTCCAAAGAGCTTCAGATCTAAAACTCTCACAACCGCACGAGAGAACTGATCATCTGGAAGAAGAAAAAAAGCGCTTCAATGGAAGTGAAAGAGCAATGAAGTTACAGACACAGCAAAGCAACAACTGGCATCACATCCAACACACAAATGGAAAGACACAATGGTTTGATATCATGTTTGTCATGTATTTTTGTGTTATTTATTGTGTGTTTTCTTTGGGTTATTTCTGCTCGTCGCTGAGCCTGCGAGCGGCGTCAGGAACGTGACAGATAAAAAAAGGCATGGCAGAGCCGCGCGGCGCTAGATGCTATCGTGTCATTCACCTCAGGTTAGCAGCAAAATTGGAGATGCAGTTAACCATCTCCGCATTCTGTTTCTCTGCACCCCACATGCTGTGGAGAAAAAGGGGGGGAGGGAGGACAAAACAAAAGGCGGTTACAAAGCTGCTCTCCCATGTGAAGGTTAGCCTAGCCTAGCACGGCCAGACTGGTCACACAAAGACTTAGCGCTAACGGCTAAACTGCTACCACACAAATGCGACTGATGGGACATGGTTAGCTTCGTTAGCTTCCTCTCACCTACGTTAACTATGCCAACAGAGAGTAAACAACATTATGTAAACACCTCACTGGAAAGGACTTAAACTCTGAAGTAACTTTCTGACAAAATCAAAGCTAAATGTGAGTTATTTTCATCAATAATCAGAATTTATCAGCTATCACAGAATCCTGGCAATCAGCACTGTCATGTTTTTAAGTTTTTAAGGAAATGTGAAACACCTTAAAAAAAGAAAAAGATTTTAATTATGAAGACATTAAACCAGACAGACACAGTGGCATAAAATCAGTGGTCACACACTGAAGTTGACAAACGCTTTGACCTCTGACCTCATATGTCCCACGTTTATAGCGAGACTGTGGCGGGAATTAACTTCTACAGAGTTCAAATCCTCATCCAGGAAATGCTTTTCATTAGTTCATCTGCAGACTGAATTACTGTTCCTCCAGTGATGTTTGAGGAGAGCCATGAAGAAGAGCAGTACAGTAACTACTCTGCTGTTTGTGCTCCTGCACGGCCACACAGGTGTTTTCAGTTCGTCCTGTTTTAGTGAGGACACTTTATATATCCCTATTCTTTACTCTTTTATTAAATCTGTGTCCTTTATTATGTTTTATATGTTATTGCTCTGTAAAACACTTTGAATTGCCCCAGTGTGTGAAATCTGATACACAAATAAAGCTGCCTTTCCTTGCCTCGCCTTTTTATGCCTTACTATACTATAAAATTCTAGGCTATACTATGCTGTGACTTTTAAGACATTTTATATCTTACTATACTATAAAGTTTAATGATTTATTATGGATTAAGATTAATCCATAATGACAACGACCGTCCACATCTGTGGATATCAAAGTTCAAGACTGAGCTCAAGGTCACGGCTGTGAGAACTGATGAAGTCCTTTGGTCCTGAGAACGGGAAACTGAAAAACACCTGTGTGGGTGGAGCGTAGGTGCAGCAGCATGCTCGGACTCTGTTAGTAACAGGGCGACAGGGACGTCTGTAACACAAGTAGGGTTGGGCTCTGCTGTTGTGACCTTGCTTTAAGGTCGCAATGGAGGGAAACTTACCAGAGCCATCCAGAGGGAACCTGAGCTAACCAACTAACTGAAGCTCCTGTTTGGCCAAATAAAGAAGAGTATTAGAGTAAGAACTTCTTTTTTGAGGCTGTGAACCACTCCAGCAAATCCTGAGTGTCTGTGCCGGAAAACACAGTGAGCAGCCTGGCGTCTCTCTCTCTTTTCTCCTCTCTCTCTCTCTCTCTCATTGAGCTAAATCAGAGTTCATAGACTCCAGTGGGAGTCAGAGCTGGGGGGCGGGGGTAGGGGGGGTGGGGGGGTATCTAGGTCACCACAAAGATGAATCAACCACAGCTGGGGTGATGCTACAGCTTCAAAGATGCTCCAAGTGTTTTAAGTGCATATGCTGGTGTACTGAATCAGCTGACATGCTACTGGTTGGGTGTTTAAGGGGAAAGGTCAAAGGTCGGGACACTGGAAGATCAACCTCGTGTATGAGTTTGCTCTAGAAAGAAAAAAAAAAAACAGGAGCTTACACCAAGTTACTGAGCGACGCCAAGCTCAGCTGCTGCGGCTGTTGCTGCTGCTGCTGCTGTTGCTGGGAGACTGCTGGTTGCTGTTGCTGTTGCCAGGCAGCCATGTTGCCAGGCACCAGCCCTGGTGGTGTGAACGTCTGGAGCGCTGTGAGATCTGCACTTGTCAGCTGGTACTCTGAGATTGAGGGACGGGAGGGAGAGGCACAAGGGGAGGGGAGGGAGAGGGGGGTAGGGGGGGTAGAGAAAGGAGGTGAGGCGGAGGAGGGTGGGGGGGATTGTTTTACATCATACAACTTTCTGGTGCATCAATATTAATCAGAGCTAATCCATATTAATGGAGACCTTTGAAGTGGAATCATTCCAGAAGCTCTCACACAATGAACAAAGTGAATATTCATGGCGGTTTGTGGCATCACACTGAGGCGTTTTCAACTTTTCCTACATGACACAAGATTTTCATGACATAACACAGACTCTGTCTTTCACTTGACGAGCATGTTTTATCGTTTCCAACGCTTTTAATATTCAGTCCCAGGTTGTAGCCGTTCACTTCCTGCCCGGACGTGAACGGACAGATTCAGGTTGAGCTGCTGAAATGTCCCGTCTTGCTGCAGGGCGGGGGGTCGCTGTCTTACCAGTGTTGTAGGCCGTCTGCATGCCGGAGAAGGGCGCTAGGAGACTGGGTGTTGCCACGGAGACCACCGGGGTGGTGAGTGGCTGTGCCACCTGGGATCCGCCTAGCCGCTGAGCATTCTGGGAAGACAGAGAGATGCACAGAGGAAGGTGAATGATAGGAAACTGGAGGTGAAAGAGGTGATTGCTGCTGCAGTGGATCTACAGAGGTCTTGATATATACGAAGAATGGTTGGACTTTATGAGAATTTAATAATTGAATATAAAAGTCAGACTCTGCATCTCCTCTCTGCACAGTGTAGCTCATGCTAAAACTTTGGCACTGATGTGATTGTATGTGAAAAAGGTTTTTTTTTTTGGTGTTAGGATTTCCTCTAGCTATGTAAACATTCCTGCAGGAGACGCTGAAACCTCCTCGTCAGGTTTACAACCCGACTCTCTCTTCTCTCCCGGACCTTTGGATCCAGCGCTGTGACTCCCGTGTCGTGAGAAAACCTTGGTCCGGGTCCACGACATGAAATCGTGTCTTTTTCTCCTTATAAGGGCTGAGTGTAAGGAGTTCACGGCACATGACTTCATCCAATTTCAACATCAATAATGATAATGGTTAGCATGTGCTCTCCACTGTGCAGCAGAGGGAGGGGGGGGGGGTGGTGGTGCAGAGACCTTGTAACGTGACCGAGAACAATTTAATTACACTGTTACTACTGAAATATTTTACTGTAAACAGCTTGTTCTGATTCTGGTAGAAATAAAAACAAAACACATTATCAGGGATTTAATTGGACCCTCTGCTTCACAAAGCAGCAGCTCTGATTAACTCTGATTGTTGGCAGACTAAACAAAGAAAAATAATAACTAACTAAACAACCTTAACGACCGAAGTCTGATGTATTAAACAGTTGCGTCACTTCGCTCTGCCTGCGCAGGGCAGACGAAGATTTCTTATTCATCGTGCCACAGACTGCGAGGAGATCCGAGCGCCCCAGTCCTCTCCGAGGCCTTTCAACTTTTCTGTGACACTTTAACATCGGGCGTGCAAGATGAGAAGTGTCTCGCATCTTAAGGTGGCGTTGGCACGGCAACGCTGTCGCCGGGGCCGGGGTGCTCGTGTTATATAGCGTCACGGTGGAAGGTGTTATGAGAGGCATCGCTGTGCTGGAGAATCATGCTGACAGGAACACATGCATCGACAAGGCTGACAGAGGATGGAGGGATGAATGTGTGTGTGTGTGTGTGTCCGTGTGTGTGTGTGTGTGTGTGTGTGTTTGTGTATGTTTTTGTATTGAAAAAGTATGTGCGGATATGTGTGCAGAGAGTTATGCGAGGAATGAATACACAATGTGAGGTGTGTTTGTTCTGAGGTGTGTGCGTGTTTATGCAGAGAAATATACATGTGAGTGTGTGTGTGTGTGTGTGTGTGTGTGTGTGTGTGTGTGTGTGTAAAGGGCTGGGGGGGTCAACGTGTCAGACTCCAACATGTCTGTCCGTGCTCCACGTTGGAGGCTTGCTCATGTGTCTTCACTCTGCTCCTCGGAGCATCGACACTCAGATGAAACCAAACATGCACATGCTGAGCGGCGTTCACACACAGTGTTAGAGCGTCAGCTGGTCGCTCCGGTTCCCTCAGTGTTTCCTCTCCAGTGCGTTAACTTAAAGCTGGACTCTACTGTAATATTAAAACTTTATTGATTCTTGTCAATTTCCTTTTTTTTTTTTTAAATCAACGTTTTTCTTCTAAAACGAAACACAGCGAGCTCCTCACTCAGACTTTTGGACGCCTCTGTGTGTCTAACAGAAAGTGGGTCATGGACCAGAGATTTCTGATGACAGACTTTTTTTCCAAAATCAATAAATTTCAGTCTAAAAAGGACACAATATAATTTTAATATAATCTGCTGAACAAAGGTTTTGATTCCCACTCATGTATAAAATGTACGCGTGGCACTCGGAGCGGTTTCTGAAAGTCTGAGTCAAGGCTTAAAAGAAGTGGTTGGGATTTTATTTTTCATGGGGAAAATTCACTAATTATCTTTCTTGGCAGGAGTTGGACGAGACGACTGACACAACTCTCATGACTGTGCGCCAAGTATGAAACCTGCTGATCTGACGTGTTAATTACTGAGCTTTACAGCTGCTGATAGGTAGGAATAGCTAGCCCGGCCCCGCCCATCTGTTTCCAGTCTTTATGCTAAGCTAAATTGGTAGCTTCTTATTGCATCTTAGTTAGCACTGTGAAGCTAGCACAGCTGGTGCAGCAGCTTTGTATTTACCATAAAGAGACGAGAGTGGTATCAATCTTCTCGTCTGACTTGCTTAAAAGCAAATTGCATTTCAAGATGTCAGTCCGTCCGGTCAGAGTGACGTGTAAATAATGCAAGGTTTCGATTTTAAAATCTTTTTCTAAAGATGTGCAGAGTTACTGTCCATCTTCCACTGCTAAGACCAACCTTCTTAGTTTTATTTAGTTTAGTTTAGACATTTATTTAAAGAACACAGTTTGAACACATGACACTGATGTGTTTAAAGCTATTGCTGATTTTCAACTCTTGTTTTTAGTTATTCATTTAAAAGGGATAAAGTCCCAGTGTTGGATCAGGTCCAGCTGTTGCTCTCACATGGTTTGAACTGACGTTTTGTGAGTCACTCATGATTGTAATGTCATGTAAAAGTCTTTTCAGTGCCTGATAATTATATATGAGGCATTAACCATGCCTGTCTGTTTTATTCTGTATTGTTCTGGATTAACCAGACAGACCTGAAGTTCGAGGAAGTTAAATCTGTAAAGTCCTCACTTCAGTGGCTCGACTCAAGTCTCCAGCTCTGACGGGACTCCCGGTAAAAACAGGTAAAGCTGAGAGTCCAGGTGAACCCTGAACCCTCCAGGGACCAGTTCAACCTGTTGATCAGTCCTGTGTGTGTGTGTGTGTGTGTGTGTGAGCCGCTCTGATGCTCTGACGTTCTCGCGGCTTGACTTCTACTCTCGTCACAGCACCGGTGCCGCTGAGTCACCCCGCCCACCCCCCCACCCCCCGATGGGATGCATTGGCTGACGGTGTCACACTCATGCTCAGTGAGATCACACAGAGATCGACACCACATCCTCCAGGCTAAAAGTCTAGAAGTCTATTCACCTTCCACTCACCAACTCCAGCTCTTCCTCTGTCTGCGCACGGCCGGCGGAGGAGGGGGGGGGCGGGCAGGGGGAGGGAGAGGGGGAGGGGGGGGTGAAAAACAACAGGACGGTTACGTTTCTACAACAACTAACTGTAGAAATATGAACATCACTGAAAAGAACTTCGACTAAAGCCCAGTCAACAGTTATGTTGAGCGATACCTGCGGAGATACATGTGTTAGTGGAAACAGTCCGAATGCAGCCGAGCTGATCGACGGCTGAGCCGAGGAGAACGACTGGATCCAGATGTTGAATTGCGCAACAGGAGGAACAAATGTTCCCTCTGATTTCTGATGTTACAGAACCCGGGAGCAGCTTTTAGAGAAGCTGCACAGGTGCCGAGCTTTTTATTCTTAAACTGGAGCCGATCACATTGAATCAAAACTAAAGTAAACCTGAACACGATGAACAGAACTGTGCGCAGGTTTTAGACACTTTAGATGAACCCAGAGTCAAAAGCATTTGCACGGCGCTGTATATTGATGCAGTAGAAGGGGCCATTTGACATGGAAGCAGGGTGCGCAGAGTATCTGTGATTGGGTGATATCTAAAAGTTAATATCTCCGTACAGTCCAGCCCAAATATAGCGTGTGCGATATTATCGCGAAGGGCAGACTGTGCGAAACTTTAGATATTCTGAAAAATATTCTTTATCGGTGGTCTGGGGACCCCCGGGAACTTCCTCAAGTGTTACTGAAGCTATCAACACGGTTCTCATTTTTACCTGGTTATAAATCTGTATAATCTGACCAGGCTTTAAACCAATATCCATTCATTTTGAGTCAAACTATCATGTTCCTGCTCGGTTTCTGACGACACGTTTCCTCAGTCCCCTGTGAGTTTGGACCCCCCCCCCCCCCCCACACACACACACACACCCTCCCCCTCCTCACCAGCTGCATCAGGCTCTTGCCACTCTGCGAGGTGATGACCCTGAGGTCCGGCTTGCGGCTGTTGACCATCTGAGGGCTGGGCGGAGGCGGAGACTTCGCCGGGACTACTTTCCCCAGGCTGTTGCCGTTGGATACGGAGAGGAGGCCCGGGGAGGCCCTGGCACTGATGTAGCCGTTAGCTGGAGAGAGACAGAGAGAGACAGAGTGAGGAGGGAGGGACAGAGGAGGTTGTGTGCTCGTATGTTTTGATGTTTTTAGTATTTGTATTTATCTGTGAACTCTGTAATTGTCTGCCCCGGTGTGTACATTCAGCTCTGTGTGTGTGTGTGTGTGTGTGTGTGTGTGTGTGTGTGTGTGTGTGCGTATTCGCTCTCATTAGCGAGTTGGATCGCTCTGTCGCACCACATGCTCCTCATCATTTCTGCGGCTCAAACAGTGTTTGTTGGCGGCGCTCTGATTTCTGCAGCTCCTCAACATCAAAACCGTGTCACGCTCTCTCCAGAACTATTTTATTTGCACTCCCTCTACGTCTTCCCTCTTTTGTTCCAGTCGTCTCGGTGCTTGATGAAAACAAACACACACAATTGTCCCTGGACTCTTTCCATCCTACACTGCAAAAAATATCCTCCTCCCCGAGGCAGCGTGGATTATTATCATCATTACACCACGAGTCTTACTTTCTCATCCCGAATCATGGAGCAACATTATTTCAACTCGATTCGAATATATCACAGTTATTGGAGCTTCCTGTGTGTGTTTCTACCTTATGAACTACAATTGTGAACTTCATTTCCCATCAGTACCTGCGTGACTGCGTGTTCTTATGAGCCTTTCTTTCTTGATCTTGTTTCAAAACTATATTTCCAAAACAAACCAACTTGTTTCAAGAATCTCCTCAGATCAGAGTCGGCGTCTTGAACCCGGACGGAACCGGGCTCAGATAAAAACTGATGATTCTGGAAACGGCTGGATTTGTACTGGAACGATCTCTCTGCACTTTAGAGGCTCGAAGAATCAGGTTGGCGATATTCTATGTTTCTGTTATCGTCGACATCTGACTTCCCACCATCTCTCTACCTTCTGCCTGTGGCAGAAGGGGACTATTTTCAGCGGCGGATTAATCCACAGTTGGTGCTCTAGTGAGGATTGAGTCAGAATAAACTACAGTGTGTGTGTGTGCGTGTGTTCATGGTGATGAGGGAACGTGTCACGGTGAGGCTCACTGATGTTTTTAAAGGTTTTTGGAAACAGTGGAGCTCTCAGAGGAAGAAGACAGTATTTGTTAGTGGGATTGTTCCTGGTTTTTCATGTGATTTGTTGACAGTGAGAAAACTACAGAACATCACCAGACACTTTAACGTCACCGGATTCTTTAATAAACAGTGTGCAGTACTTCTGCTCTTTGTTTCTGGTGCAGGGGGAGCGTTTCCTGCAACATGACAGACAAACTCACAGATCGTGAAACTGACCGACCGACCGGCCGCATTCCAACCGGCTGCGGTTCCTCTGTAAGAAACAACAACACCTGATAACAGAGCAGCGGTGAGAGTTACACAAATATTATGAGGTTAAAACGACGTTTTCCCTCTTTTAACGCTTCCTGGTCTTTGTACGTTTTCATGTATTAATAATTAATTAATGACTTTTTAATGAAGCTGGAGTTGGGGTGTGGTTCTGTGTGTCAGCGGCGGCCTGTCAGTGTCGCTAAGGTTAAAATAAGAGCTTGATTCAAACAGAGACTCAGTCACAGAGTGTATAAGGGGGACAGCAGGGACTTTCCCAACCCTGACACACACACACACGCACACACACGCACGCACACACACACACACACACACACACACCAACGCGCACGGGCTGTATTCCCCTCAGTCAGGGTGTGTGTGATAGCAGATAGCAGTTCTCCATGACGCCGCCTCCAGACGACAGCGGCATGTGACTCTGCTTCATCTCAGTCACACACACTCCAGGGAAACACACTCACACACACACACACACACACACACACACACTTACACACACCCATAAACTAAACCTGACAACAACAACAAGCAAACACTACCTCTGCTATCAGCTCAGTGGGAAGGGGGGGGGGGGTTTGAAGGAGAAAGGCGGGAAGGAGAAGAGGGCTGATGGAGGCAGTGGTGGGGGAGGAAGGGGTGAAAGGAGGCAGGAGGAGGGAGAGGGTTGAGGGAGTAGTGATGGAGGGAAAAAGAGGGAGCATGTAGACAAAGACAAAGAGGCTGGTTACTGGTTAGCTAACTCATTTATCTGGAAGACTAAATAAACCAACAAGTTTTATCCATAATAATAAAATAGACTAAACAGCTGTGCACAGATGTTTTCTAGAAAAATAGGAAGGAGAGAAGAGGTAGAGGATAAAGAAGGAGTGAGGGAATAAGAAAGGAGGCGAGAAGGAGGGAACGCTGAGGGGGAGGAGGATGAGGAAGGGCTGGTAGGAAAAAGGAAGAAGAGAATACAAAAGAGATAAAAAGGTACAAGAGGGAGGAGGATGGGAAGCAAGGAAAGAAGTGGTAAAGGGAGACGTAGGGACGGAGAGAGAGAAAGAGGAGGAAATGTAGAGAAGGAAAGGAGAAAAGAGGTAGAAAATGAGAGGTGGTGTAGGAAAAAGGAGGGAAATACAGAATGAGGGAAAGGTAGAAGGAGAGAAAAAGGTAGGAGGTAGAGAATAACAAAGGCAGATAGTGAATGGGGTGATGGGGAAAAGGGAGGAAGGTAAAGAAAGAGAAAAAAGGAGGAGGCGAGGAAAGAAGAAAGGAGTTAGGAAATGACTTAGGGATGAAAAAGGAAGTAGAAAGAAAGAATAGATGTAGGAAGAAGGTATAAGGGATGAAGTTATACGTGGGGAGAGGAAAGGATGAAAGGAGGTAGAGAATGATAGAAGGAGGTAGGGAAGGGGAGAGGAGGTAAGGATGAAAGGAGGTAGAGAATAATGGGAAGGATGTAGGAAACTGAGGTGGGAGAGATAGGGAAGGACAGAGGAGAGAGATGATAAGAACAGGAAGGTGAGACAGACGAGAGGAGACAGAGAATGAGAGGGAAGGAAATACCAAAGGAGAGGAAAGAAGGAGGTAGGAAATGAGAGAGGGACAAGGAAACAAGAGAGAAGGATGGAGGCAGAGAACAAGAGGAGGAAAAGAAAAAAGGATGAAGGGAAGAGGAGGTGAGGGAGTTAAAGAGATGGTAGAGAAGGAAAGATGGAGAAAGAGAGAGAGTGGAGAAAAATTTCCCAGCATGCATCTGACCACTGAGATCACCTGTGCACTGCTGACGCACAGTGGACCCCCCCCCCCCCTTTCATCAGGTGCATCTGGGATATCCTGTGACCGTGTGTGTGTGTGTGTGTGTGTGTGTGTGTGTGTGTGTGTGTGTGTGTGCGTGTGTGTGTGCGTGTGTTACGTGCACTGAACATGTGTGCGTCACTGACTGACGGGAATCTGCTGCTGGTTGCGTTGTGTTCATGTTTGTGGATAAAGGAGGAGGGTGGCGTCTTTGTGGTGACCCTGAGTTATGAGTTACACACACGCACGCACGCACACAGTGACACAAGACCAAATCACCTCACAAAAACTGTGTGTGTGTGTGTGTGTGTGTGTTTACATTACATGGAACTACTTCTACTGAAGAAATAGTCCCTATACAAACTGTGTCTGTGGCTCATCAGAGTGACTGAGACGATGTTTATAGGAGGAAATGTTGATGTTAAAATGTTTTAAATGTGATTCTTCAGTTCTGTCAACATCACAAACAAAATCCCGTTCCCCCTCTCCTGGACCGACACCGAGGAGGAGATCTGAAAACTTATCTGCATGAGGAGAAACGGCTTCTCCTCCTCCTCCAAGTGTAAAATAAACTAATAACTCTGGGGTGTTGGGAGAATGTTTCTCCAACAAGTTCACAAGTTGAGGTCGGTCACTTTTTAGTCTTCACTCTATAAGATCTGCTTCGTTTTTTTTTCCTACTAAACTTTTAGATACACAATACTGTGTGTGTGTGTGTGTGTGTGTGTGTGTGTGTGTGTGTGTTGAAGTTCACATGAACACACTCCTATTCTGAGAGTGTAAGTGAGTCATAGCAGCATGTTGATGTATCTCTGGATGTATTTATATATGTTGACTGTTTGTATGTGTCTCTCCCTGCCATTTACATGTGCTCCTCTCTGTGTATGACTGTAAAAGTATGAGTACCTTCAGTGTGTGTGTGTGTGTGTGTGTGATGTCTCCTATTACGCGAGGCTGGGCGTGGGAATGTGAGGAATGCCGGGTGACGTCAATGGTGACATTCCCGGAGCCCCGAGTCCCTGGACAACAGCTGAGAACGACAGATCCAAGAGAGGAGGAGGAGGAGGAGGAGAGGGAGAGGGGAGGAAGAGAGGGGAGGAGGGAAGGAGAAAAAAGGCTGAAAATGAATGGAAGTAGACGAGGTGGAGAGAGGAGAAAGAGGTGATGGTAAAGGAGGGGAGAGAGGGAAGAAGAAGAGGAGAAGGGATGAAAGGAGATGCTACAGAAATGGGAGAAGAGAGGAGGAGAAGAAGAAACGGAGTAGAGCGTAAGTGAGGAAGGTAAAGAGAGAAGGAGCTGAGAAGGAAAGGGAGGAAGGAGGGAGGCAGAGAGAGAGAGAGATAAGGGATGAAGGACAAAGAGTGAAGCAGGCAGCCGGGCGGATCAGGTCACCTGAGCCTCGCTCTGAGATGAGGAGGTTTCATGTTTCGACGCACGAAGGAGTCGTGACTGTGACACAGCGAGCCGCAGGGACCCTGAACGCAACACTCAACCGGACAGACGCCCGACAAAACAGCCTCCCTCCCTCCCTCCCTCTCTCCACAGAGAGAGAGAGAGAGAGAGAGAGAGAGAGAGAGAGAGAGAGAGAGAGAGAAAGAGTCCACAGCACTCAACAATCAAACGTTCCACTAAGAACAAAACTTTCTTCCCTGTTCCACACATCGCTTTAGATGAAAACAATCATTGAACTCATTTATCTGCTCAGGGACACAACTGTACTCCAACACTGTCAAGTCACTCTGGTGAAAACATTTCTTTCATCCACAAGGGGGAGCTACTTTACACTGAAACCTCCACAAATTGGCAATGTTCCTGTTTAAGATTAATCAGATTATTCTGTATAGAGATGGAATAAATCACGAGATGTCACAATACAATAATACAACATTAAAAACATATGATTCATTATTAAGTTTCAGTGTGTTGACAGCACTTATCAGACAGCTGAGAGCCAATCAGATCACTGCCCTCCTTGATTCCCTACAAATGTGATTTAATTTCACGGAGATGAGTCGTCTTTTAAAACACTACAGGAAATATATTCACGTCTAATGTTTACCACACAACTGCAGGAATGTGTCACTTATTCAAGTGTAAAATAATGCTGAGAGGTCGGGACTTTTCTCAACACTGGCCCAGTTCGTACCTGCCATTGGACAGCTCTACCTGCGTCAGTTCACACCTCCACACGAGTCTGCGGTGACCACCTGTGATCGGATCTCACTTAACTAACCCTAACCCGGGAGAAATAAATCCCACACGCAAAGACTAAATAAAAATAAAGCGTTGTTGTTTTTGACCAGCAGGAGGCAGCAATGCACTTTAACTGTGCCGGATCTACCGGAAATTAAAAGAAGAAGAAGAAGAAGAAGAAGAAAGAAGAAGAAGAAGAAGAAGAAGAAGAAGAAGAAGAAGAACAGGCTGGGGTCTATTCCTTGGCGTCTTCCAGGCAAAACAAATTGCATAACATGTTTGACTCACTCGTAATATATCTCAAGTCCAATCAAGTTTTATTTATATGGCAGCAACAAACCACAACAGAAGGTTTCTGGAGGTCGGGTGAGTAGGCGGTCCTTCACTGTGACCTAGGACACATTTGCGTTCACACTGCTGAAAGAATGTGACACGTGTTACTGCCAGGTGTGAACATGAAGCTGGGAAACTCTCATTTAAACAAATAAACTCTGTATATTTACTTTTCTGTTTATACTTCATGCCGAGCTTGATGATGATGTCACGCTCCACAGAGTCGTGACACTGCCGAGCACACCTGGTGCTTCAGCAGCACCTGTGCATTGATGGAGTCTCCCTGTTAAGAGCTGTGTTTCACAGGAAGCACAAACTCTTTCATCAATAGCCTTGAAAAACTAATATCAATATTGAAACTTGGCTTCGGAGTTCTCCTCTGATACAGTACCAGGAAGTTAATATAAATGTATTGATTTCTTTTGGCCCACCTCACCCCGAGACAATACGTTTATCAAGTGAATATAGAAAGAAAAAACAAAACACACACACACACACACACACACACACACACACCTTCCCACCATATCTATTACTACAGGCAGGCTGGCAGTATCTGTCCTGGCTAATGGGATTTAAGGGGAGAGCTCTGGCCAGTGTCAAAGTCACCTCTGAGGAGAGTCCTGTGCCAAGACAAGGGACAGTTGGATGGGGGGTGGGGTGGGTGGCGGGTGGTGAGTGGGGTGGGGCGGTAGATTATTCCTGAGAGGAGACGAGTGGGAACAGCTGAGAGAGACAGGATGGGGGTGGGGGTGGGGGGGGGGGGTGGGGGGTTGGGGCAGCGGGTGAAGACAGGAAAGAGTTGAACTCGCTGCTGTCGGGATGCCAGGGTTTTTTAAAACGCTGCGTCGCTGTGACAGTAAAAATCCGACGTTACTGAGGGACATCTGGCTCCTGGTGCAACTCAGACTTCTCAATCACATCTCCGATTGGTTCAGTAGGTCTGGTGTCGGTGTCACCGACAACTGTTCCCCCCTTCCCCCTCACCCCCACCCCAAATGGAAAAACAATCGACCAATCAAATGTCAGTAGGCAGGATTACACCCATGATAAATGGCCACGAAGATGGACGCAGCTGTTGTCTCTGTCAGCCTCTTACTACGAGTGGTGGGATCCTACATGGAAACAGTTTAACTTTTGTTTCTGCTGACAGTTGATTGGCTGTTTGGTCACTGTCAATCAAATTGCACCCACACAGTCCTGATGAAGCAGATTAGCTGCATTCTTTTAGTGTTCATTTTGTTGTTTTTAACTTTGATTTCTTCTCATTTCATGATGGATATTTAGAGTCATATGTTAACCGCTCCTAACAGCTGCGGCCGCCGCTCACGTGTTGACTTGAAATCACAGATTTGTCACTTGCTGCTGATTGGTTAAGGCAAAAGAAAACAAAATACGCTCCTCTTCCAAACAGGAAATGGTAAACACGAGCTCAGTCACATCAGACTGATTGAAGTGAAACAAAATGGCAATTCAGTCAGATTAGAGGGGAAGTTTTCAGCCGTTATGTCCTGATTCTTTCTCCAATAACTTCTTTTTTTAAAATTTTTATTAAAGGAACGGTTCACCATCTTCACACTGTGGCAAAGAGTGAATAGAGAGAAAAGAGGAATTGACATTAAATCTGAGTCAAACAGAAAATCAGTGACAAACGCATCAGTGAGTCTTGAACTGAAATTGCAGGGTGTTGACAAAACTGGTGTCAGGAACCAAATGTTGAGCTCATTTTTTTTTTAGGCGTTTGTCACGTAAAAGCACCAAACTAGGTCTGTGACACTGGTGAATTTTAAGATGTTCAACTACTCAAACTCACAACTTTTTTGAGTCACACACACACACACACACACAAAAAAAAGAAAAAACCAGCAGAGGAGTTTTTCATGTTCAGTTTCTGTTCCTCCTTTCCAACAGCTCTCTCCTCCCGTTTCTCTCTCTCACAACCTGAAACCCATTCTGTTCTTTGGACTGTTTACAAGCAGCTTGTGCTGTGACCGTCAGCTGTCGTCAGTCAACAGGTGCGTTTGTGCTTGTGTGCGAGTCTGAGAGTCGTGGACACGAGACGGAGCTTGTTGCCACACAGAAAATATTCTGCATCCCCTCTGTCTGTAAATCCCACTCAAAACTCATTTCCTTTAAAAGTCCAGAGAAAACACAGACAGCAGAGAGGAGCAGGGTGGACGACTTAATGTAGTGTGCATGTGTGTGCGTGTGTGCGTGTGCGTGTGTGTGTGTGTGTGTGTGTGTGTGTTTGTATTTGCACAAACTCATTTCTTCCCAAAAATGTGAAGCATGAGAAAGAATAAGATTTACTTACGGACTGGACTCGGGCACGCTCCGTTTGAATTCCCCAGATCTCCTAGCAGAGCACCTATGAAAACAGGAAAACACACCATGATCATTACATATACAGTATAATAATAATAATAATAATAATAATAATAATAATAATATATATATATATATATATATATAATAAAAACACTGCTAAAATGATCTTATATCTGTTCATCTGAACAGCATTTACCCAAAAGCCTGAATTATCCCGTTTTTATGATGAAGAATATCATTAAATCAAGTGAGTCATTACAAAAGTGCTTCTGCTATTGAATCTCACTTCACTCTATGAAGAACCATAATTGGTTTCAATCTTGCATTTACCAGTTAATTTCTAAGTGCCGGTTTCTCCACTTCTCACTGATACTTATCTTGCATTTGGAGAGGGGGAAAAAAAAAGAAAGAAAAGAAATCAGACTCGTTTTAAATTGTGAGAAAAAGATTAACCTGATGTTCATCCGAAGGTATTTAACAAATACACGACTGTTTGAAATGAACGGTCCTTATTGGAAGAAACAGTCAACTCAGAGACACTTGTATCACAGAATCGACCATTTATAGCAAATACTCTACAGGTCGACGTGTCCGAAAAGGTACTGCTATTCAATGATCCCGAGCGGCTACAAGCCCCGCCCCCTCCCAAAAATATATAACGGTGCACAATTAGAGATTAAGAGGACGTGAGAACCAAAGCTTCAGTCCCATCAGGAGGAGGTTGGAGTTGTGGAGGCGAATCAGCTCCGTGTGATATTCTTGCCTGAACATCATTGGCTGTTACTAATCAGCTGGTAGCCGATGCTATAAACATGTCAACGACATTTTTATCTTTTTTTTTTTTCCTCTTTTTAATTTGACAAATACAGTTTTCAGTGAATAAAATCCACAGATAATTATCACCCAACTCTGCAGCTCCCGTCAGTTTTCAGCAGCATTTCTTCTTCCTTCAGCTCATTGTTTTGGTTAGTGCTGTAAATGCTGGTTTTGTTTTCGTCATGTCGCCACAGAAACGACTCAAAATCAATAACAGGCAACTATAACACATTTGCCACATGAGCTTTATATTGTAATAATAAGTCAACGTTGTGTTTACAGCTCGTTCTCCTGCCCCCTCGTACAGTCAAAAATAAATATAAATCTATAACCGCAGCTTTAAAATGTCAGTGTAGATGGATGTGCTGTGTCCCTGTACAGCACAGTACAATATGTCTATATATATTTTTATCTTCATTCAAACATTATTCTCACTTCTTCCCCAAATGGCAGACAGCATTTTTATCTGCTGACACTGATTTTCCCTCTCGTGGTACAAGATTCAGTTTTTTTGGCTCAAACAGTCTTGAGAAAGTCAGAAAGTCGGGGTCGTCGGGGGTGAGTGAAAAATATCTGGCTGGAGCGACGCGTGGAAAAACACCAATGAGCAAACACGATGAACCCAATACATCTCTGGTAATGTGGGATGCATAGCAGGGTACAGCAGAGCATTTGCACTGCCGAGGTTATGAGGAGGGGGAAGGGAGGGAGGGAGGGAGGGAGGGGGGGGGCGTCCATTACTGCTATGTGAAACCCTCCTGCCTTTGGAGAACGGCATGTTATGAAAGATGCTGTAATGCATTTGTTGCGCGTTACATCACCTAATTCTGACTTACAATGAGATTATACTGGTCGGAACAAAGCTCGATAAGTAACCTTGTCTGAGACGCAAAAATGGGGCACAAATCCTTTTAGTCAGAGGGTGAAGGATTGGTTTGCCACACAGAGGCAGCAGGCGCACACAGGAGTGTACCAGTCAAAGAAATGATGGATTTCTGTCATTATACGGCAGTGTGCACTTACTTGAGCAAACAGGAGTTACCCAGACTGACAGGTAACCGAGCATGCTGGGTAGACAGAACATCAATACTCCAGACTCAGACTTTCTTCTGTGGTCGTTTTGCTGCTCGTCAACGCGGAGAAATTCTCCACAAAACACAGTCGTTACATAAACCGAAAATAACACCTGCCACGACTTGTGAAACGTGTCTTCAACTAACTGCATCGCCATGACAACCGTGGTCCGTAGACGGCGGCTCAAATTATTTCAGCTGGAAGAGATGTTTAGCAATCGGCACTTTGACAGGTAAAGAAGATTGGACTCCAGAACGTTTGTGCGTCGGTCAGAAAGTGTTTGCAACAGTTTGGAAAAATCCTGATGACAAACTGCAAAAACTAGGACAAACACACACACACACACACACACACACACACACACACACACACACACACACACACTGTACTGACAGCCACAGGTTTAAACAGGGATATGAGTCAAATATACACACGACATGACGGGTTGACAGATGCCGCTGTTGGCATTCGACTAAATATGACCCACATTTCCAGCAGAAGAGTGAAGGCCAGACCAAGAAACATGGATGTCGGTAGCTGACTGAGTGACTGAGTGACGAAGTTACACCATCGGTCAACCGGCTGATTGCTGGAGTTTCCCCACTCTTACAGGCTGTGTTGTCAACTTAGCACCTTTGTCACTAGATTTGCCGACTTGTGAGATCCCTACGGCAACTTTTTTTTCTTCTGGTGTTTCACATTGTTCCTATGCAGAGCTGGTTGCTGTGGCGACAGGAGGCGGGGGCGGGGGTGTGTGTGAGGGTGGAGGTGATGAAGGAAGTGGGGGCGCTGACAGATCTTGTGACTTTTGGGACAAACTTTACTTACTTTCTGTAAAAGAGAGCTCAGGGGCAGGGGGCACCTCTAAATGCCTTTTGCAGGATGTAATACGACATAATGATGTCATGATTATGCTAATTGGAGTATGACATCATTAAGCAACTTTTGGAGCAGCTTTAGCGATTTCTTGTCTTGTTACCTTAAAGTCCCTTTTCAATGTGTGATTAATTAAATCAATTAAGGACAATGTGTGACAGACATTAGTAATGTGTAAAGTGGTGACTCACAGTGACTCAGTGGTGTCTTTTTTTCTAAAAGTTAAGAATCTGTTGAAATTCAACTTCAGAGGTTAACGACAAAATATCTATAAAATCATCTAATTAAAACAAGATTCTTAAAACTGTGAGTTTTTTTTTTTATCAGATGGATTATAATAACAAGTTCTTTAACCTAGTTTGGTATTATTACAAGACAATGCTGTCCACGTTATTCTGTCCTCTAGAGGCTTTGAAGCTAACTGCTAATGCTACCTAGCAAGTCTTATTGTCACTGTTCTCTATGGAAGAGATGAGGGCAATAAATTAACAGAGAATCCACATTTAAAATCAAAGGATGAGTCGTCACACACACACAATATCTGTCTTCATACAACACTTACATGCTCTTATATTAGAGTGTTACAGGTCACTGTTATTCTTCCTCCTGGCTGCAAACAGATCCCTGAATTTCAGTGATGTGTGTCTAAATCTTTGCTGTTTGCAGCCAGTATCGACAGGAGGGACAATCAGAGTGACCGTCTGATGCACATGTGGACATGTGGCTATTGAAAAAAATGTCAACCTCTCCTTTTAAAATCATTAAACAGAAACCTGAATTTCTTTCATTTTTTCCCCCCAAACACCGTCTCCTTTTGCCGTTTCTGTACCACCAGACAACACCTGTCAATCAAACTGTGTGGGTGGCGCAGTCTTTTTTCTTCTGTTTTCTTTTGAAGAAGTTTTTGTCAGTGGAGCTTTTTTTTCTTCTTCATTTTATGTCGCGCTGCTGTTAAGATGCAGAACTCATCAGCTGCTCTGCATTACAGGGTTTTTCAGGGGGGAGAGGAGCGTTTAGAGCTGCAGATGGAAAAGCTATAATGAACTGGTTTGACCAATCAGCAGCTGAGAGAACTGAAACTAGATATTCATCACAGATTGTTGATTTACACGACTGCAAACGTGCCGTTCACAGCTCTAACCAAAGCGGTCCACCTCGTTCTAACCCCATCTCTTACCTGCACTGGCTGGTCGCTGTGGTAACCCTGGCGACACGGTGTTCCTCTGCAGAGCTGGTTGCTGTGGCGACAGGAGGCGGGGGTCTGTGAGGGTGGAGGTGACGAAGGAGGTGGTGGTGACCAGGGCGCCGCCGGGGTTGTTGCTGAACTGGAGGGCTGCCGCCGCTGCCGCGTTCTGATTGGATACTGGCACGGTGACTGGCATGGAGAAGGTGGGCTGTGGGACTGTGGACTGGTGGAGAGACAGGAAGAAGGGGGGGAGGGAGGGAGGGGGAGGGGCTTAGAGCGTGCTGTGCGGATGTTCACACACAGACAGTAGTGGACAGGTGATCAGTTAGTGATCGGCAGCAGTGCAGAGAAGCCTGCACGTGAAATAACACTCAGTCACACCGGCCGATCACAACAGGAAGAGTCTTTCCAAAACCTCATTTACCTTCATCATTTTTTATAATATGACTGCACATGATCTGCACTTTCAAACTCTACATCTCGTCAAATCAATGATTCTGTTACCGAGTCCTAAAAAAGAAAAACAAATTCTGTTTTTTAGTTAGTGCAAAAAAATATCTACGACTCAAGTCAGGAAATAATTTCAACCTGGTTCAATCTCAAATTAATTGGTTTCAAGAATCTTCTGGAATAATTTTTTATTATTGTTTAAAATGCAGAAACGCATTTCTAGAACCCACATGAAAAAAGCTAAATTATGTCTGAACATCAAAAAATGATTAAAATAATTATACTAAAAAAATTACTGATGGAGGGTTTTATTTTGACTTCTTAAAAAAAAAAAAAAAAAACCCTCCAAAATAAAAGCTCTCCAGGTTATCAAGTCATGCTATGTTTTGTTGTCCGTAAGACCGATGACAATAAAGTTGAATTGAATCATTCTTTACATATTTTAGAACTAAAAATCTGTCATTTCAACATCAACATAAATAAAGAAATCTTATTTTAGAAAACATTAGAAACAGAATGAAATATTCTCCCTGCACTGACAGATACTTAACCGTGTCTTAAATCCTAAGTGGATCCTTCAGACCAGATCCTGAACCGAACACTTTCTATCATCACTGACCATTTTCCAAAGCAAATCATGTGTTTTCAGATTGATTTCCAACCTTTCAGGCCGTGATTGGTTTCAATTTGTGTCAATAAAACTGAACCTAAATGACTCGATATCAGTCACGAATCACAGAGAAACGATGTGTCAGCCTTTGTTGTCTTGTCACGGTTCACTGTCACAGCAGGAAATCAATCTCAAAGTGTCAGACACGTCAGGCGTCGCCAATTTGTATTCAGTGCAACAACACTGGGAACAGGTCGTTTAAGGAGAAAGGGTTTTGGAAATTAACTCTTCGAACAAATAAACACACACTTCAAATCTCTCTCTAACACACACACACACACACACACACACACACACACACGCTCACTCAGTTTTTAACATGCAAGGTGACTTGGTGGAAAGGCCAAAAAAAGCTGTGTCGCCTTTCACGCCTCATGCCAGGTTAAAAAACACTTGTCGCAGCAGCGGGTTATTGCATCGGGTTATTGGTGACATTTCATGGCGTGCGTGTCACATTCCAGCTGCATCCCACCACCCGCACCGACGTGTGCTCATCACCGGGAGCGTTTCGGAAAATATCCTGCGCCGTGCGAGAGCTCACCCTCCGTGCCGGAAGGAGTTCGCTTCAGAAAACGTACCTGGGCAGCTTGCGCTACTGTACCGGCCTAAAGACCCCTCCTCCTCTAACGGAGCCGAGGCGTCTGCAGGTGTGCTGCCTTTCTACTTTCTTTTAAATGGCGCCTGAGCTGACCTACGAAAGTGGATTTCCAGACAGCCCAGGGTCCTGGAATTAAAAAAAAAAAAAAAAAAAAAAAAAAATCAAGGGCAAGGACCTCGGGTTGTCCAGCCATCCGACCCATTTCACCCTGTTCCAACTCAGTCTGAAAGGAGAACTTCTATATATAGAATATGGGCCAGCGCCGCACTGTACTGTACTCAAACTGCCTGGGACCCAGTTTAACACAGAGGAGGACGAGGGCACCTTCCTGCCCTTGATCTCTGCCTCTTCTTCCTTCTGCAAAAACTCTCTTTTTTTTCTTTTTTGGAGGGAGTAAAGAAGGAAAAGTGAAAAAATGAGTGAGAAACAGATCTGACTGAAGCTGAAGGAGACGCCATGCTATGTTTGTTAACTCTTTATTTTATAAGTCCCTACTTTCTGTTTGTTTTACAGGTGAGAACTGTGGGGTTTTTTGGGTCTATTATAAGGAAAATAGGATTTCCTTTGAAAGGAAAGCTCAGAGCTAAATGTTCATATATCATTCTGTCATTATTAGAAACTTTTTTCTCTATAAATGTTGAATTGTATTTTTAAAGCGAATGCAAATGGACAAGATTCTCATTTTTACACTTTAATTTAATTGAATGAGACACAATTATATGGAGAAATAATCCTTGAAAATATAGGAAAAATGATCGTCCCGTAACGTAAAGCACTGCCCTCTTTTCTATCTTATTGAAAATGAGGCTAAACGAGCTCAGATCACGAGTCTGTCCTTGCAGCCTCTCGCCACAGAAAGGAAGCGACTCCCCAACTTTGTGAGATTTAAAATTCACCCATTAAAGGTGCGTGTGTGTGCGTGTGTGTGTGTGTGTGTGTGTGAGCTGTAAGTGAAGTGATGACCAGGGCGGGTGAAGATAGCAGCAGCTAACAGCACTGCACCACTGCACACTGGCCAAGCAGAGGGTAGAGGGAAGGGAGAGGGGGGGTGGGGGGTGGATAAATGGAGGGGTGGATGAGGTGTGTGTGTGTGTGTGTGTGTGTGTGTGTGTGTGTGTGTGTGTGTGTGTATGGGGGGAGGGGGAGTTAGTGTAAAGGGGATGGAGGTGTGTAAACAAGGAGCATACAGCACTAGAAAGGATATTTACCCTCACAGGGCCTGGGGGAGGGGGGTGGGGGGGGGTCAGGGGGTTTCCTGCAGCCTGACACATTTCACTGTCTATGTGTTTAACAACAGGACGTTTTGATTTGACAACACTCAGGGATCAGACCTGGCTGACCTCTGACCTCTGACCCCAAGACAAACTACTGTCCTGCTCCATCATATCCAAAACTAACTAAAGTAATAATTTTGACTGTGATCTCATCTTTTAATTGTATTTTTTAGGGGATATAAATGTGACAAAACAAAAAAGGAACATCACAGCTCTCAGCAAGTGAAGTAGATGTACGTAGGTCCAATTAGTAGCTGTTCTGGAGCTTTCAATCACGTCACATCATCCTCATCGGCAGATTCAACTGTCACAGAACTGTAGATGTTTCCGAGCTCTTAACGTCGGAATAAAACTTCTACAGAGTACTCGGGAAAACGGCTGTTGACGAGGATCATGTGATGTGAAGGACAGCTGGTGGTGAGATCGTTTCACCTGTTGAAGCCCTGAACTAAAGATGACTGGAGCTACGTGAGAGTCTGCCTCTTTTCCACAGTCACAGTTTAACCACCATTTAACTGGTAAACTCCCGTACGACTCAAAAATATTCGTTTTGTCTTTTGTTTTAATCCTGAGTGAATAAATCGATGAATAATAAATATTAGCATCAGGGTGGGAGCAAACATGGAGGACAGTGGCGTCATGTCCTCAATCATATTTCTGTAAATTTGGAGGATTGAAGACTTTACATTTTACAATAACATTAGGTGTTTCAAGTCTGATTTTTTTCCAGGCAAAAACTATAAAGTTAAAGTCAAATAAATTCAGTCCTCTCCGCCAGAATTAAATATGATGTAGGGAGATGACGACATTTACATCAGATATAACGGAATAGCTCAATTGTAAATTAAAATCCTGGATGTTAACGTTCATTCTAACAGAAATCTACATATTTTAGTGACTTACATGTCCGATATTTGTATATATTACATTTGTATATTTGTCAGTTTGACGATTTGAACATTTTCTCTGTTAAAAACTAAAACTTTCTTCAGGATGACCGTGCTGACTCTTCTAATTAAAGTGTTTTTAACTTGTGTTTTAAACTTTATTTCACAGCCACACCACAACAACCTTCTTCAGGTATCTCTCTCTCTCTCTCTCTCTCTCTCTCTCTCTCTCTCTCTCTCTCTCGTTGCCTGTTTGTAATATATTTAGCCACAATTTGTTCTCAGCCACGTCTTCCACTGGACCTCCATGATGGTACCAGCCTCCGGTTGCTAGGAGACCGGTGACATAACCACAAAAACCTCTTCACTTCTTCTCTAAATGATGAATTTTAAATTTGTCCTCAGCCTGCTCTGCGCCGCGCTCCGCTGAGCATTAATCCGTGTCTTTGGCAAATTACACCTGAATTTTTACGTTTCGACCCCACTCGTTTAACACCCGGCGCTACTAATGACAGACAGGAGGGTTAATTGGGAACTGGCCGTCATCCTGCTGATTTAACAGAGGAAGAGAGGGAGAGGAAAAAAAAAACAAAACAAGAACCTGTTAGGTAAATAATTGACTAGGCGTTTTACCGGAGGCTTGTGCGAGGAAGCTCAAGGCCTCTCCAGCGTGACGAGGGGAGAGGAGAGCTAACCCATTTTCCCTCAGAGGAGCTTCTCTCAATAAGGTTGTGTGTTTCCTGGATGCAAGGGTAAATCAGAATGAATTAAACTCATGGCCTAGTTTCTCTTTCCCTCCCTCTTGTCCTGGAAGCCTTTGAAAGTTTTTTTTTTTTTTTCTATTTCCCTTTTTCAACTTTAGGATTGTCGCATCCTATTTGTTAGCAGCTGTGGAAGTGAACACAGAGGAAACTTTGGAGGAGTGTTTGTGTGACCTCAGACTCTGACTCTCCTCTAACTTTCCTAATATTTGATTAAAGACCAAAAAAGCAGCAGAGAGTGAGCGACTCGCTGGTCACCGCCTTCGAAAAGGATCTGAGTCCGATTCCAATAAAAAAAAAAAAAAAAACGTTTTATCTGCCGCTCCAAACACAAATTATTAATAGGAGCGTTTATATTTCTGATGCTTTTTGTGGTGTGAAATTACAAAATGTGTTTTTCAACACCCTGCAGGGGCCTCGGGGTCGGCCGGCACATAAACGCAGCGCCCGGGAGAATCAGCTCCGCAAATTATCATATCACAGACAAGGTCGTTAATGTTTACTGAAAACATAATATGGAGACGAGAGCTGAGTGTAACATGTTATTCTACCGAGCCAACTTCATTCATCCAGTTTCTACTGTGTGCGGACAGTGTGTTGCAGCCGGGCAGCGATGATGTCACATGAAATAATGATTACGAATTAAACAATAATGAGGTCTTCTAATATTCTTTTTAATCACATTTTATGTAAGATTTTTTTCAATAAAGATATTTGCACATCTGAAAGTCACAGGTGCAGGAGCGTTGGAAAGTGTCATATCCCGCACTCTGCTCTTCCCAGCATCACGGTTTATTGATCATGCTTATGTTTCGGTGTCTCTAGACGTCCTGCAGAAGAGAATAATCGTGATGCTAAAGCAAGAGCAGTGCGCGGGATATATCAGATGTAAAAATCTGTATTAAATTTCTCCCTCACATGTGACCGACTGTGAAATCCTGAAGATTTAAGGGTTAAATCAGCGGTTCCCAACCTGTGGGCCAGAGAGGGTGTTGCAAGTGGGCCAATAAATCACTTGCAAAATTTTGGTGTGATGACGTAATCATAAAGATTTATATAAATAATGTTTTGAATTTGGTTTAACTGAAATGAATTTTAAAAACATTACAGATGTTTAAAAACTCCTTTTAAAGTTTTTTCTTTCTTCCGCCAAAAGTTTTTGATATTTTCAAATGGGAAAAGTTGGGAACCACCGGTTACAAGTTTTTACCTTTACCTTACGTTAGGCATCAAAAACTTCTATCATGTGTTCTATGTGGTATTTAGAGTGACACTAAATGCTTCAGTGCAGCGGACAAAATGCAAGAATTTATCGATTATTAATTATGAAAACTAACTCAGATGTAATGAAGTGTGCAGCTCAAGCAGCATTTTTTAGTAACACCATGTTTTACTCTTCACATTCACACTGAGCCTCTACAGAAGACTTTGCTGAAGGACAGACACCACGCAGGTCGACGTTAAAAGGAGGAAATCTATTTCCTATTCAATTTCCCAAACCCAAAATCTCAAGAGCCAGAGCAGGATCAAACCAGAGACCCTCCGGTAAAAAGAAAAAGCTCCTCTTTTTTTTTCTCCCCCCCACCACCGAGCCAGTGGAACAGGAACAGATCCATTAGCTCGGGGCTCGTCTAGTCAAATGTCCTGCCCGTCCTCCCTCGCCGCTCTCTCCCTACCTCGGGAGGTATTTTAGTACAAGTGGGATTAAGCTTGTATATCCCGGCCCCTAGCTGTCATGGTGGGGATTATGATGCTGAGGGGAGGAGTGGTGGGTGGTGCTGTATGCTTCCTGTTTGCCGGCGCCCTGTGAAAGGTGTGCAGGGCAAAACAACCCGGCAGGCAGAGCTGGCAGAGAGACTGAGGGGCAGTGCGGTGATGGATTGGGGGTGTGTATGTGTGTGTGTGCGTGTATGTGTGTGTGTGTGTGTGTGTGTGTGTGGGGGGGATGGGTGCTAACAGCTAGCGGCTGTTCGGCTAGCATCCAATCGACGAGCGCCAAGAGCCGCGGCTCTCCAGAGGTGGTAGATTGAATTCTATTCTTCCTCTGCCGCCGCTTTCCTTTTTCTGAGCGAAGCTTTTAAGAGGCGTTTCAGCTCAGAGCGGCCGACGGAGAGGCCAGGTCACACTCAGGAGGAAACGAATTCATTCAGCTGATTAAAGTGAGAGGAGGCGCGTCTTCTCTATTAGGCCTCGTCTGATGTCTGAGAAATGTTACTGATGACAATTACTGACAGAAACGGCTCCTTTAATTTGACGGAAAAGTCCAGTTTTTACCACTTAATATAATTCATAATGCCTAATATGCATCTGTGCTGTACATATATATATGTATATGTTTATATAAATGAAAGTTTTCTATTGCACTTTTTATCAGTAATTTATGTCATTATAACGTCATTCTCCCATGTTGATGTCATTCTCATTATAATATTGCAGCTTTTGTTTTGTCGTTCTGCACTGTTGTTGATTGTTGACGTTGTATCTTCATGTCATTGTCGTTGTTTTTCTTAATGTGTACAGTTTGTCTTGCACTGGATGTGTTTTCTTTTTTGTGTATTTGTGTGGTTATTTTTTTTAATGTCTTCTCTATGTGTCCTTTAAGTCGCTGTCTGGAGACAAATAAAGTTTCTTGAATTGACTTGAATGAAAGCCTTTGATAGTTTTGTGATTAACAGTGATTGAATATGTTTCCTCTCTGATCTGTATCTGATGATCTGATGATCTGTGTGGCGAACTGCTGAGCACGATTGCTCTTACAGGAATAAATAAAGTTGTATTGAATTAAACTGAAATGAACTGATCTACGGTCACATGGACGTTCTTTTTAAAAATCACCACAGTAACCAAAAAGACAAGAGTGTAATCTATTGATGCACAAATCGTGTTTTCATATTGTCACAGATCTTTAAAAGTTTGTGAAAGTTCTTGTTGTGTGAAGCAGTTGTGGGGTGAAAGGTCAAACAAGGTTTTGTCTCATTTTCCGACTGTGTATCTTGAAGTTCATAACGTGACAGAAAACTAACGCTACGAAAATGAGACTAAAGAACACAACGCAGACTTTTCCGTTCAGGCATAACACCTCATTTAAGATATCAGGGATATCCGCCGTCTGACTCTCCTGCAGCGCCTCAACGTGACCGTCCCGTCCCCCGTGACCAATCGGAGGAGCTGGCAGACTGGAAGAGGAGCTGTAAATTGAGTGCTACTCATTAAAGTGACATTAATGGCATTATTGAGCACAGAGGAAGAAAAAAAAAAAAAAAAAAGAATCACGCAGAAATTGGCACAGGAGCGGAGCGGTAAAAGGGGTTTGGCAGAGTGCCAGGCAGGAGGCAGAACCTGGATAATGTCAGGAGCAGTGGAGGAGGAGGAGGAGGAGGACGACTCCGGGACTAAACTGACCTCAGTTAGGGTGTAAATGACGGCCGCTTAGCAGCTGCACCCTGACTCTCTCTCCCTGTGTAACCTGCGCAGTGTCAGGAGCAGACTCTGCTGCACACGGCTCGTCTTCAGTTGCACGCTCATTTCTTTAGTGTTGCTAAGTATTACACAATCGCTTCTTCCAGCCAAGCGATCCCACTGCTCAAAGGCACGCTCCAAATGTGTTGATTATTACCATAAAGCATGATTTCCCTTTGCAATATCAGTTGCTATGCCAACTTTTGTTAAAACTAGGGACCTAGTTAGCACTCCTCTCCCTCTGTTGTTGATTCTTGTGCGTTACTGAACTTGCAGAGGCATCAGAAACAAGAGTATTAAAGCTGCTCTGCTCCTGAGGGGGCTCTTCACTGTGATGACTGTAACTTCACATGAATAATCACAGTGAAACATGCCCCGTTTGGTCTTACGCTGCTTTTTCTAACGACGTCTTACTCGCACAAAGTTAGACATCTGCAAAAAATAAAAATCAACATCTTCATGTTTTTGTTACTTTCTACTTCAACTGAAGAGAAGTCTGTTTTTTGTTTTTATTAAAACAAGATGAAATATGAAAGTACAGGAGAGTTTTTGTCACACAGTTTCCACTACACCAAACGTACCGTAAAATAACTCTGAAATAACACAAAGTGTTGTTGAGGATTTGTAGTAGAAATAAGAGGAAATACAATTTTGGAATTGAACAAGAACTTTTAGTGAAGCTGTGAGTATTTGATGATTAATCGATTGACAGGAAATTAATTGGCAAATTTGCTGCTTTTATCTGTTTTATATCTTTGTAAACTGAATATGTTTTTGGTTTCTACTGGTTTAATCCCCTGGTGTGTCTGTTATGGAGGAGGACGCCTCTGGATAATTCAGCTGCTCAGCTGCTGGTAAAAACCAGGAGTTATCAGAGAAACAATCTAAACAAACAAATCAATCTCAGCTCCCACTCCTCCCTGACGTCTCTGTCCTCTCCACTTTAAATGTCAAACTGCTTCATTCAGGTTAGAATCACCGGGTCTGTTTGATTTCCTGAACCACTGACACTGAAGGAATCCAAACCGGGAGGAGCTAACGGTAGCAGTGGTAAAGACAACGACTCCCATGATCCCTCGCTATTTCATGACGTCACGTAGCGCCGTCTTTTTGTTATTGTTTCGATTGAGAGGCAGAAGTTACAGTTGTTAGCCGAAAGCCCCGGTTTTAAACGTCTGCCCTTGAGTCAGTCAGCTCGGCCGCTCTGCCCGACCTTTCGTGCTCAGTCACACGCCATCAAGGAGGTTGTGGGTAGTGATTTGGTGGGTGGGTGGGTGGGGGGAGGTGCTGGTGGTAAGAGGTGAAGTGGAGGAGGTGAAGGGGTGAGGAGGAACAGTGAAGGCGAGTGCTCTGTGAGTAGTCAGGCCGCCACCCGCAGCTGGAAAACCTCCAGGTCGTCTGGTCAGCGGCAGCAGCAGGGTACCAACATGAGGAAAGGGGGTGGGGGGGTGGGGGGCAGTGTTACACAGAGAGGCAGGGGGGGGTTTGGGGGGGGTACTCACTGACAGCCTATAGTTCTGCATCATTTTATCAAACTCCTCGTCAATTTTTTTGTATTTCTCCTCAGTGCGGGGGGTGAGGGAGAAGGGCTCCTCGGGGTCTGGGCTCTCAGAGTCCCGGTGCTCTTTCTTGTTCAGAGCCTTCGTTCCCCAAACAAAAGAAGAAGAAGAAGAAAAAGAAGAAGAAGAAGAAGAGGAGGGCAGACAGAGGGAGAGAGAGAGAGAGAGAGAGAGAGAGAAAGAGAGAGAGGAAGATAGAGAAGAGAAAGGGTAGGTTAGATAAGGTGACAAAAGTGTGACGGTACTCACGCCGTAGCGTTTGAAGAGGCTGTCCAGGTCCTCGGTCTTGCGGTACTTGTCTTCGTTTAGCGGGCTTTGGTCGATGGAGTCGTCGCCGTCGGGCTCGGGGCTGTTGCAGCCGTTAAAGCCTTTCTTTCGCAACGTCTGAGGCGGTTAGAGAAGGGGGTAGAGGAGAAGGAGGAGGCACATTTACATTTCATTTTTTCATGCACACTTTGGGATCACCACTTTGATTTCTTAAGACACACTTAGAGAAGAGTGAACACATATGACCATCTTGATTCCACCTACACTTCACTGCAGCGGTGAAAGTCAGATGGAAGAGTTTGACCCTGGTGATGACACACATCCAGTCTTTTTTTTATTTTTATTATTGTTATTCCTAGCGGCATCTTCAAGGGCATTAGAGAAAAAAAACACGTTCTCAGTCTCTGATAATTCTCGATTGATTTGTGAGGTCGACGTTCGTAACATCCGCCGCCCACGTGAAAGCGAGCTATTACCACTGAAGCTGCACTCGCTCACCCTGCAGGTGCTCTCGGGAGGTCGCGGATTAAAAAGGGTGAAGAAGCTACAGACTCCAGCTCCAAATGGAGAAAGCTGCAAAATCAAATGGAGGTGGACTGAAAAAACACAAGTGCACCCCACCAACCCCACCCCCCATCTTCACCACCACAGAGTGAACAGGATCTGCTGCAGCCGCCCGTGGCACTTTTCACAGAGCGAGAAAACTCTGTGCAAACCTGAGCTACATGTCAGAAAACACAGCGAGGCATCGCACCTCTGCACACGTCGGGCTAATCAACAGCGTTGGTAATTGGTGCGAAGCTTTGCACTGAGAGAAAAAGTGGTTGAGCGAAGCAAAAGGGTAAAAGGGTGAGTTAGGAAGCAAGTGGTGGTTTTTTTAGTGCTGCGGCTAACGGCAGTCAGGATGTGTCAGTGTTAGCACAATTTGGAAAGGGCGAGAAGAGAAGGAGGGGAGGAAAGGAAAGAGAGAGAGAGAGAGAGAGAGAGAGAGCGATAGAGATAGAGGCTCTTATTTTGAGAGGATTCTGCTAAACAAGATTTGCTGTTAAGTAGCTTTGCCTGTTGGGCCCTTGACCACACAGCCGAGCCGATAGATCCTCGCAGCAGAATGGATCTTAAACTGAAGCCGGAGAGCTCTCTGTGGTCCAGATACAAGCTTTAACCCTGACTGCTGCAGAAAGAAGAAGAAAATCCCTCGCCTTTGAAATCTATCAGCGAAAAGGAAATAAACTGTGGTATACTGCAAAAAAAATCTCCATCATGTCAAGTCATTCCTACTAGTAATTGAGCCCTGGAAACCTTTTTTTTTCTCTTAATCTGTCTGTGCAGACAAAGAATATTACACTTGAATCGAGACAAATGAAACTTGTAATGTTTGCAGACGTACTCAGACGTACCGACAGACTCTCTTAATTACTTATAAGAAAATAAGATTTAAATGGGCCATACAAGTGATTTTACATGTTTTAGTCCATTTAAATGATGTTTCTCCTGCTATTTTAGACAACCACCACTAATTTCTGCACTCGACAGACTCTTGAGCAGCGATAATTATTTTTTTGGTGGCCACTTGTAAATTTCAGCACTGACACATTATGATCCTTTGGAGATCTTAAGTCGAACATGTTAGCAAACAGCTCGTCTGTTTGGATGTTCCCCGTTCTTCACCAGCTTGTCACTAACTGTGTCGGCCTGATATTTGGAGCTGAGCAGGTGGAGTGTCGTGGGTTTAAAGAGCTTGTTTTCTGTAAACCTGCTGCATTACGCTACTGAACAAGACATTAAATATGCTAGAAAATCAAAACGGTAAGCTAAAAGATGCTAAAACAGGCAGAAAATGGTAATAATTATAATAAAATATAAAGAATCGTGCAGCTTTAACTTGATGTTAATGAGTTTTCTAGAGTCTGCTAGTTGATTTTTGTGGTATTTGGAAATGACTAGACATCAGTGAATGTCTAAAATCATATAGTAAGCATTTAAAAGTGATGAGAAAATAGACAAAACTCTGGTTCGGTGCAATTACAGAAAGAAAAAAATCAAATCAAATGAGATTTTTTTTTTACAGTGTGTCATTTCATTGATTATCCATTAGTAGCAAAGTGCTCACATCAGATCATGTTCAATATTTCACACACCCTATATTTTCTTTAATTAACAACCACCTGCTGTGTCAAGTGTGACTGCGGAGTAGTGGTGGTCTGATTAAAACATAAGCACATGTTCAATGACTCCCACTGCGCACAATCACTGCTAAGTGAGGATGATTCAACTGCCTGCAATTCAGCCTCGGAAGTGGAGCCGGCAGGAGCTCGTACCTGCAAGAGCTCCCGCCTAAACCCCGAGGAGGCGCAGACACAGACGCTTTTAATTTTGGATGAATTAGCCTTAAATCCTCAAGAAACAGGTGAGGACAAGAGGGTAATGATGCCACGTGGATGTCGGGGTGAAGACACTTTCAGTTTTAATAACAATAGCACCCCTTTGATATGAATCTCATTAAAACTGGAAGCCATTATTATTATTATTATCGCGGTGTCAAAGCGGCGTTTTATCTATCCACAGAAACGGGTTATTAGACAGATTTGTTCCAACACGGAGACAGTTGCCTGATTCAGCTGTTCAGTCTCCCCGGAACAAGTCGGTGCTCTGATCTGCAGCTTAATGCAAATTTAACACGCAGGAGAAGCCGCCCCACACTTTGTTGTCCACAGTCCATAGAAAACACACTCTGTGGTGGCAGTTGGTGTGTGTGTGTGTGTGTGTGTGTGTGTGTGTGCGCTTTGACCTAAAAATCGAGGGAACAAAAGAACCAAAGGAAAAATAAAAATATATAAAAATAAAACAACTTCCAACATGACAATGACGGCATGTGACAGAGGGCCGCGTGGAGGACGTGATGGAGGCGTGCACCGCCTGCCCCCGACTGTCAGGACACAGAGAGATAAAGAGCCTGCAAACAAAACTGTAATGACACTGTTGGTGCGCCACTCACATGGACTAACACACACACCCACAAACCCCCCAAAAACCCCACAACCCAAAAACCCCCCAAAAACCCAAAACCCAAAACAACCCGACAACCCAAAACTTTTGTACCCAATTGTAAAAACTTTTGGGTTGAGGGGGGGGGGGGGGGGGCCAAAAAAAGGTCCCGGTTGAACAACACTTTCTGAACATTCTGTTTCATCAACCTGCCCCCCCCCCCCCCAAACCTAATTCTGACTCTATCACAACTTTGGTTTTATTTTCCGTAGTTTTGGTCGTCATTATAGTCCACAGAGAAAACACTTGGATCTGGGACACGTGGCGTTATCGGAACAACAAAGTCACACGAGCGGTCGGACGATCAGACAGGAAGCCGCCAGTTCGCTAAACCTCTTATTTTGGAGGTAAAACTGGAAGTAACTGCAGCACTGTGACGTTCTTTGTGGCCACAGTCGGTATTGCAGGTCACATGATGCACACAGGCCTCAAACACTATCATTGCAAACCTATCTCCACGATAAAGAGCCTTTTAATCCCATAAACGTACGTTCACGGTGAAATGATGAATATTTCACCGGTTTCGATCCCCGGCTCCTCCAGGCCGCTTCGAGTGATTGATAAAGACTAGAAAAAACACAATATAAGTGCAAGTCCATTTACTATTTACCAAGCAAAATGCCCTCACAACTCAACACTGACCTCACTCGTCCCGACATAACGATGATGAAACTGGTTTTACTGTAAATACACTACAACTCTCTTATATACTAAACTCTCATATCACCTTTCTTTTAAACACACAAACACTTCATATTTTTTGGATATCACAAGCCTCTCTCTCTCTCTCTTTGTGTCTATGTCTCTCTCTCTCTCTCTCTCTCATGTAAACACAGCTGATATTTTGTTATTTTACAATTCAAACATGGGTACTCTCTCCCTCTCTCTCTCAGTTTCTCTGCTCACTCTCTCACACAGTTTTGTGTAACATTACAGCATTTACACATGCTCTCTCTCTCTCTCTCTCACACACACACACACACACACACACACACACACACTGTAGTCCACTGATCAGCTTGTCTCTCAGTCAGTCAGCCATCTGTTCACCTGTCCACCATCTCTCTCTCTCTCTCTCTCTCTCTCTCTCTCTCTCTCTCTCTCTCTCTCGCTCTATTGTGTTGCCAGGGTAAGATTCACCCTGCAGAGCACCAGGCTAGCCTCTGACTGGCTGCGGCTGCTGACAAGCCCCGCCCCCCTTCCCTTCACCACCACCTCACCTCCCCGCCTCCCTCCCTCCCTTCCTTCCCCTCTGGCTCGCTCGCTCGCCCACCCGCCTGTCCGCCCGCCCTCTGTTTCCAGCTCTCCATGTAACGCTGCTGCTGCTTTCCTCTCTCTCTCTCTCTCTCTCTCTCTCTCCCTCCCTCTCTCCTTTTGTCTCCCTCGATCTCTCATCTCTCTGCCCACCACCTTTAACGCAGCTCTCGCTCTCCCTCACAGGAAAGTGCAAAGTCTTACACTCGTCCTTCCGTGTGATTCGCCCTGAACATCTCTCCCTTTTCCTTGTAACGTCTCCATATGTGACTCTCCCTGGTCGCCCATTTCCTCTCCTCCTCCTCCTCCTCTCATCTTTTTTTAATTCTTTTTCCCACCACTCTCTCTCTCTCTCTGTCCTCTTTTGCCCTGTTCTCTCTCTTGACCTGTTCCCAGAGCTTTCCCATCGTAATTTCTCTCCCTCTTTCCCTCTCTTCCCTGCTCCTGCTGTTTCATCCCTTCATCCCCACCCCGTACTCTCTTCTCTGGCTGGTTATCAAACCTTTTTTCTACACTCTTTTTGGTTCGAGTATTTAACGCTGTCGGGGTGCTGGAAGACGACGACTTCTACTTCAGATCAGATAATTCCTGATTTCAATCTAAATTTTGGTCAGACTGTATTTTGAGATTTGAGATCCCTGGATTCAGTTCAGAAGCGTTGTTACTAAAAACTTTCAAACTTACACAGCTCTGTTGCTTTTTCTTTTTCTCATCCCTTCTCTTATTTCGGAGTCTCTTTGTTCGTCTTTGTGTTTGAGTGTGTGACTGTCCGTGTGATGGTCTACTGCGTGTGTTTATATATGAGACTAAAACTGTGT